TCGAGATCACGCCACTGCACTCCAGCCTGGGTGACAGAACAAGACTCTGTCTCAAAAAACAACCAAAAAGATATTAAGATATTTATGCTGAAACAGAGGAGAAAGCATTTCAGTTCTGGGAAACTGTAAATGCAAAGATCCTGAGACAAGAAAGATCTGTGTGAAAACCTAAAGCCCACTATAGTTTCAGCACAGTGGGTGAGGAGAGAGCTGTGAACTGGGATGGGAGAGGAAGCAGCTTCCAGAACCCGAGCTTCCTGGAAGCTGAGTAGAAAGGTCGGAGCCACAAGCCCCACTCATGAGTCTGATGTGGGTTTGGGAGAGTAGGAGATAATCATACACTTCAGAACATACAGCAAAATAAGGATAAACATGGCCCTCTGCTGTGGATTTGACTCTTACAAACAACAAATTGCAAAGGTTTCTCCATTTCCAACTTTTTTTGGAGGAGTTCTTGTTAGAAGTTCCTTCCTGACATAGCATGATTGTCTATAAGGTAAACTGAGATGGCTGTGAATGACCCACGTGCCTCTCTATGACACAGTGTCTTGCTGTAGGATCTTATTTACTCTGTCATGTTTATTAAAATAAAGCCAGCCACCCTGACTTTATTACAGGAAAAGTATTCACAGTTTGGTTTCCATGCCTTTGCAGCTGCATTAAAACTCTTTGTATAACTGTTTAAATTTTTAGCAGCTCTTAAGTGGATGGAAGGTATGCAGTTTCAAGTTTGTGAATTTAAGAGAAGCATTGATTTATTTTAGCAATTTAAATTCGGAATTTAATTTCCATCTTTCTTGTTCCTTTCTCTTTGTTCTCTACCTATTTTTTTTCTCCCTCTCTTTCTCTCTCTCACACACACATACACACACATACACCCCACACACAGGACTTTTCTGTAGCTAAGGAACCCTAAATAAAATAGGTTTAAAACAAGTTTTGAGACTTTTAAGATAATCTCCATGGTGTGGTGCTGATGACATACTCCAGGCCATTTGGCAAGCTGCTATGTAGTAAGTACATAGCAGGATATTTGTACCAGTTAAGCAAAGTATGGTGTGGATAGCCAGAACAGAAACAAATAGAATTTATTTCTGTAGACTAGAAGAAATTAGCAATTGAAAACCTCAATATGTTCAAGTTTACAAGTGAAATAATAGAATCAAAGAATTCCATCTCTTTGAGTCATATTTCTCCATCTCTGAGTGGTAGCTCCACTGAGCTGGTTGTACTGGAGGGTCTCTGGGAGGGAACCTGAGCCTGTGGCCCGAGCAGCACAGGTCTGGCACATTACAGTGACAGGGACTTGTAGCGGGCATTTAGGCTGCCAGCTTCCATGTTACCTTCCTAACAGCATCCTCAATTTACTGGAAAAATATATTGCCCATTGCTTGTAGTCATAGTGGTAGGACCAGGGCCTCACCCTCCTATGCTCTGATTCAGAACAAGGGAAAAAAAGACACAGAGCTAACCTTGGCCATCCAGTGTATTTTGCAGGGACTCTGAACTTGGGAGACCGTCCTACCCCAGGATGGAAAACTCATGGACGCCATTCACTATGTCAGGAGTGATGCTGTGGTGGCTTGGTTAAGTTTATCTGTGAACCAGTTGCTGTGCTTTCTGCTTTTCGGTTCTCTGGAGCTCTCCTGGTGCCTGCTTCTCCAAGCCTGCTTCCTGGTATCTCAGTGGTTCTGTGAGCTTCTCATATTATTCCAATCATTTTCTTTTGTTTAAGGTAGCTAGACTCTGTTTCTGTTGTTTACTCTCAAAGGTCTTAATTGAGATGGCATAATAAATGTTCCTAGGGTGAATAAATTCACACAATAAAGATATGCCCAGGTTATGTTTCAGGTCTTTTATGACTTTTCCTTTCTTTCATCATAATCAGAGAATTGAACTGCATCTGTAGATGAATTTTCTTGAAGCTTGGATAAATATGAAAGTTTTCTATGACGTCTTTTAGAGGAAAAACTGTTTTCTAAAAATCATTGAAACTTTTAAATATATGGTTATTGTATGGTAGTTAGAAAATTCAGACAAGCATAAAAAATATAAGCATATATACAAACATCTTATATAATAGATATCAATTGAAAAAATCATGTTTAATACCTAAGCATATCTCATGGGAGGGATAATATAGTTTATGTGGTGAATCCCTCATGATTAAACATTTGAGTTCTCTCCAAGTATCCACTCTTATAAAAGATCCTGCAGTGAACATTCTTTTAGGTAAATCCTTGTATGCATAAGCTTATTACCCTTAGGATACATTGCAAGAAATAGAATTGTTGGGCCAAAGACTTTGCATGTTTATAATGCTTTTACTCACAAAAATTGCCCTTAAAAAAGTTGATTAAAAGAATGAATAGCCCTTTTATTGTAGCTCTTCCTCAGCAAAAACAAAACAAACAAAAACAAAGAATGGTCTATATTTCAAGATATGCATCAAGACAGCCCCATTTAAAACCACATTGCATTAAGTGAGGTGCTTCAACTGATCGATGCAACTAAATAGACACAGATGGTGCAAGAAGAATGTATTAATATCCCTGTATGTTCAATACTACCAGACATTATACCTGCTCTCTTCATTCATATATTTAAAGCTCATTTATAGAGTCCCTACTGTGTACCTGGCACGGTTTGAGGGGCTGGGAGCGTGTGAAAGGAGGCAAGATCTAGTTTCCAGCTTTGAGGCATTCACAATCCAGTGAGCCATGCAGACCCAGAAATAACTCGCAGACAACAGAGTGTGGTGGCCACTGTCATAGGGGAGGCATAAACACAGCACGCTGAGAGCAGCAAGCCAGAAGCAGTTTCAACTTGTGTGTTTAAAGTCTCCTTGTTTCCTTCTCTCTCGTCAGAAAGCACTATTTAAAATGAGAATGTGAGATACACCTTGAGAAATACAAACAGAGAGTTATGTGGAAGTAAAGAAGGGAGAGATCAAGAGCAACTCCAGGGAGTCCATGGGCATTGGCGAGTGGTAGGACTGGCTTCATGTGGAGGGGCATTCCAGAAGAGAGGGCACGGTGAGCACTGGTACAGAGCAGAAAAGAAAAGAATGCATTTGGAGAAAACGCTGCTTGAAATAGAAGGTTTGGGTATAGTAGGGTGGCTGAAAGTCTGGGCTACCTGTATTGATGTTAATAACAAGATAAAGCATCTATGTGTAACTCCACGTGTAAAAGAGAAGGATTGTATTAGTTACCTGTCACTGCTGCAATGAATTACCACTTGGCAGCTTAAAACAACACAAATTCATTATCTTACAATTCTCTAGATCGGAAATCTGACATCTATCTCACTGTGCTAATATCATAGTGTCTGTGGAGCTGCCTTTTTTTTCTGGGGAGACTGTGTTTCCTTGTCTTCCCCAGCTCCTAGAGACCATCTGCATTCCTTGGCTCATGGCCCCTTCTTCTGTCTTCAAAGCCAGTGACAGCTGGTTGAGTACTTCTCTTGTCCCCTCACTCTGACCTCCTCTTTAACCTCTCTCTTTTACATTTAAGAATATTTTTAAGGGTCCTCTTGTATAATACACAATAATCTTCCCATCTCAAAATCCTCAATCACATCTGCAAAGTCCCTTTTGCCATGCAAGATAACATAACCACAGGTTCTAGGGTTTAGGACATGGATATTTTTGGGGAGCTGCTTTCTACCTTCCATGGGCTTTAGGGTTTTAGAGTAATGAGTGACACTGTTGGGAATCTATCTGCCTGAGGAAGACCATGCTGACATCAATGAAGAGGTTAGACTGGAGGAGGAGAAGACCAGTTAGAAAATCTTTGATGATTACCAAAAAAATATAATTAGGCCCAGTGGAAATAAGAAGGAAGGGACAGATGCAAATAACAGAGTGGGAATAGACTCTCCAGGAACTGGCAAATGTTTGAGTAGAGAGTGGGGAGGAGGGAAACAGAGGTGGAGGTGTCAAAGATGATTCAGGCTTTGAGCAACCATGAGTGAGGATCATGGCTTCATTAACTGAGGTGTTTGGTTTAGGGAAGTGGAGTAGTGGTAAATTCAAGTTTAGATCTTATTGTCATCAGAGAAATAATCTACAGCTCCTCTACTTTTAAATTTTTCATAGGGGATATGCAATAAATACATATTCAAGACATTCAGGCCAGGGAGAGAACCAATAGGTGGAAATGCCTGAGAGACATAGAGACAAACTCGGCACAAAGATGGTGAAGAAGAGACACGTAGAATGGGGATGCAGACGGGAGGAGAAGGAAAGAGGAGAGAAAAACGTGTAAGAGTAAGATGGGGAAGAAATATAGACTATGAGGATGATGGAAGGACCTAACAAAATAGAGGGAAAATGAGAGACAAGGAATATCAACAGAGAGAAACTAAGAAAGTGATCAACTCAGAGGTTTCTAGCATGAATAAGTTGGCCAATTTAAATTTCCAGTTCACTCACAATTTAAGATTGTCTTGGCAGATTTATTTACTTCCACAAGTTAATCACTGTCCACAGCTTCTCTGTTTTGTTTAGGTTCCAGGACGCCTCAGTGACCCTTGAGGGGGTGAATTATTCACCCAGTATCCCTTTTGGCTCCCTGCCTGCCTCTGTGAAGGAAGGTTCTGCACTCCCCTGTCCTTCCCAACATGCCTAGTCTAACTCTTGAATTATTTTATCCTTGGAATTTGAGGCCTTTGTCACATGTGTTGAGGAAAAATGTCTTTCACTCTGTCACAGTCCTTTACAGATGACGTGACTCACTGACACACCAGCACCACACAGGTGTGAGTTTACGCCCGTGTTACAGATGGGAACATTGAGGCTTGACTCTTGTTTAATTACAAGCTCAAGGTCACAGATCATGAAAGCTGGGAAGAACAGGCTAAGACAGCAAATAGTGGGCTAACAGTTTGGGCAGGATCATTTAAGAAGACGTCAGGCAAATGGAATCACTGCCTCTGGAAAACTTAAGTATTATAGCCAAGGTGCTACGAAGCTCACTCTGAACCCTCCTCCCAAACTAACCCTGCGCTGACAGAGACAAAGGCATAAGAAGGAAGTAAACTATACAGGGGTAGGATTTCCCCTGGCACAGACACCACAAACGCTTTCATATTTATTGTCTTTGAATAGAGGAAGTGAATACTGAGAGAGGCTGACCAACTTGTCCAAGGTCACCCAGGAGCCTGCAGTGATCCCAGGGCTCCCTCCTGCCCTCCATCAGATGGGCAGCGTTCCGGCCAGGGAGGACGCGTGCTGGCCAGCCCTGAGCGGGTGAGATCGCTCCAGCCCGCCTCTGCGCCCACTCCCCTGTGCGCCCTGCTGCCAGAAAGGCACCCCCGCCGTCTCTGGCGCCCAGTGGGGGCGGCAGCGGGGACCGCCGGGGCTGGGGGCTTGTTGAGCTCACGGAGTTCGGCTCGGTCGGGGAGAAGGACGATGCGCGGCGAGCTCAGGTGATCCGGGGCTGGGGTCCTGCGCCCGCAGCCCCTGGCCCACGCCTCGCGCCCGCCGGCTCCCCAGCGCGGGGGCTGGAGCCCGCACCCGAGGGGGCGGCGGGGAGGGCGCAGGCAGCGGCTGGGAGTGCAGCGGCAGCGGCGGCGGCAGAAGCTCGGCTCCGCGGCTGGGGGTGGCCGCTCGGATCTGCCAGGGCGCCTCGCTCCCTCGCCTCCGGCAGCGGGTATGTGCAGCAAGTGCGCCGGGGGTCGGGACCGCAGGAGCCTACAGGTGCCAGCGGGGACGCGGCGGGGGCGGGGCAGCCTGACAGGGTCGGGGGTTTGGGGATTCTCGACTCGGGAGACCCGGCTTTGCGGCAGGGTGGGCTGCGTGCGTGGCGGCTCAGGGCGTAGGTGGGCTTGCTGGTTGTATACGACGTGTTTCCAGCGTGGGTCCACTGTAGGCTTGGGGCTGGTGCTTTGCACTTGTGTATGTAAGTACTTGTGAAACTGCATGTGTGCTCACTGACTATACAAGGAAGGTTATGTATGGAAAGATTTGTGTTTGTGCCTGTGTGTAAGAAAGGGCATAGGCTGTGCATCCATAGCCAAGTGTGTAACTGGATGTGTGTGAACTCTATGACTGGTCCTTGATGTACAGAGCAGAGAGTGTGCTGTGTGTGCGTGTGTGTGAGTGCGTGTGTGAGAGAGAGAGAGAGAGAGTACGTGTGTCTTGAGCATCCACCTGGTTGTGTGTACGTGGCATGAGTGTGTGGGTACGCTGTGCTGCATAAAACATTGGCGGTCACTGCTGGTACTCACAACCATCCTGCAGTTGCCTTTCACAGAATCCCAATCCCAATTTCAGATGCATTTCCTCACAGCTTGCTACCCTGTGTGGCCCTGTGCTGTTAGTTGCCTTTGGGAGAAGTGGCTGTTGATACAAGGAAGTGGCAGCTGGCAGAGGTGAAAAAGTGGTAGGCATGAGCTTGTCTTCCTAGAGTTCAATGTTAAGAGAAAATCTTGGCTTGATTTCCATTTGGTCCAATCAAATGAAGAAATGGAATGTTTCTTAGGGTACAGGTTTGGCATGAACCAAAGGTGACTTTTGATGGAAAGACACTGATTCAAGTTTGCCTTCCCTGTCTTCTATTGCTGGGATGGATTCTGAGGGCCTTAAAGCTGTGGGTGACTGTGGCGGGCAGTAGTGGATATTTAACCTGTCCCCTGAGTGGAACTTCAGCATCAGTGACCAAGGGAGATGTTGCTGTGTGCTCCTGGTGAGCCAGATTGTGAAGGAAAAAGATGTGGGTGATGGATGCGGTGCCCTGAAAACAAGAAAAAGTCAGGGCAGGGATGAGACCTGCAGAGTTCTGAAGAGCAGCTCTCACCTAGGAAATATACAAGTGTCAGGAAAAAAATTAGTAAAAAGTAAAGAGGTTGTGCAGCATTAGCAAGTGATTTCTTAATCATGTTTATTTTCCTCATCCATTTTCATCTTAAATTCTCTCTTATGTTTGCATCATTCCCTCCTATGGGAAATAGCCTTATTATAATTATTATTAGAGAGGAGAGCCACAGTCATTATTTAAATGCCAGGAGAACAGTAGCCCACTGAAGCTAGCAGCAGCTTCAGAGAGAGTTTAGTCCAGCTTATATGGAGCAGAAGGAGGCCTGAGGTCCCAGAGGACAGTCATGTCTCTGGTTCCTCTGAGTTATCTGGATTTCAGTCCTGATGCTGTTCCTTCTAGGGCCACCGTGTCCTTCTAGCCAAAAAATCAAATGCGTAGTATTTCACCCTGCTCTTCTGGGCTTCCCTGATTCTATTCATCTCCTCATCTCCTCCCCCAGCTTCACAGACTAAAGGACAGCACCTGAAACCCAACATAAACATCCTGCTACTCCAAACCACCTCCTGATTTTTCCGCCTGTTATAGAGCACCACCGTCCTCTACATCACCCAGTCTGGGAACTGAAGGCACCTTTCTATTCCTCCTCTTCCTTCATCACTAGCTGCCATCGTTTTCATCAACAGGCAGGTTTTATCTGTTTTCTCTCAATACCTCTTAAATCTATTATGTTTTTCATTCCCACTGCCACTTACCAAGTAAGACCTTTATTTGGGAGTTTCTGGAGATAGGAACAGATATAGACTGTGATCACTGAAAAAATGCAAAGCAAATACATGAAGTCAACACCCTTGATATTATCACTGTCTGATGAACAAGCAAAATCAGGTTTTTGGAAGAATCTGGATGATTGCTGTGGCATCATTATGTGACATAGATCATTTGTTTGCTTTTCTCAGTTTTGGTTTCTTCACCTGTGAAATGTGATTAATGATTTCAGCAAGAATCTAGTCACTAGATCATTTCCAAGTATTCTCTCAATGCTAGAATTCTCTGATTGCCATTGATATTCTTGGTTTTAGCAAGAAACATTTCATCTAATTTTTTATGGTTACCTTCTGATACTTAACCAGCCAATTTGTTGATATGAAAATTCAATTTGTTGTTAGGAAAAGCAAACTGGCAAAGAGGGAAAGAGTGAAATACACTCTTGACTTCAGTTTGAGGTTGAAGCTCAACTGCATACATGAAGCCTTAGAGTTGGAGGAGTTTTAGAGGTTACCCATTCTCACCTCCCATCGAGTACCAGAATCTCCCATATCATTGCCTTTTGAATATTGAAAAATGTGTCCAGCCTTATTAAAGTAACATCACACCACGCAGAAACTCAAGATTTCTTGGTACTATTGGAATTTTGAGGTGGATCATTCGTTGTTGTGAGGACCGTGCTCTGCATCATAGAATGTTCAGCAGCATCTCTGGCATTTATTAGATGCCAGTAGCAACCCCTACTTGTGACAACCAGAAATGTCTCTAGGCATTGCTAAATGTCCTGTGAGGATGGGTGGGAAAGTACCCCTCCTCCCACCAGTTCAGCGGAAAACCACTGCTGTAATTCAAGCACGAGTCTTGTAACCTTGTACAGAAACATCTTACAACAAAGTTTTTAAATAAATAGATGAATTGCTGTGTTGCTAGCTGTCTTCCCACTCCCTTCCAACTTTATCACCCTCACACATTTACCTTTATCCCTCCCAATTTTCACTGCCTTGTTGCTATGCCTGGAAATGCTCAACATGCTGCTGAAGGCTGAGGAGCATTTGGGAGACAATATAATAATAATCTTAATAGCTCACATTAATCTAGATCTTGATATGTGCCAGACACTGTTCTAAATGCTTAATGAAAATGATCTTATTTAATCTTCATTAAGAATCCTATGAAAGAGATACTTCTGTTACTCTCATTTTAGCAATGAGGTAACTCAAACAGAGAGGTAAAATAATGTACCTAAGTTCTCTCAGCTATGGAGTAGTGAAGCTGGGGTGGGATCATGTGTTGTCTGATTCCAGAGTCCATGCTCTGAACCTCCATACTATAATGCCTTGCATGAATGGGATCTTGGTGTTACAGGGTAGAAAAGAGCTTAGATATCCCCAAGCCCGGTTGTAGATCCAAGTCTGCCTTTAGAAAACAGGAGAGACTATGAGTTTGTGAGTTGTGTTCAGCTGAAATGTGATTTCTCTCATTTTTATTTCTTCTCACCCTGTCTGTTATTCAGAAATAGCTCAAAGGCATATGTAGAGTGAGAGGGGTGGTGGCAGGGTTGGGTAATAGAAAAGTGGGAAGGTGCAGGGGAAAGGAAGGATGGAGAAAGGAACAATGCATGATACCTTTGTTTCTCCATTAACATCTCCTTACCATCAATCTAAACTTTAGATATTTCTTCTCTTGTCGAAATTAAAGTTGCCGTATTTTAAATCAACTCCCTCGTTACACTTCTTGGTTTGCCCTTTGATTCTTTCATTCTGCATGCTGTTGACTTTTTATACTATTAAGGCAGCAGAAAGTGGTACACATTTGAACAATGGGAAATACAATGTAAATGGCTATCAAATAGACTTATTCATAGGGCTAGCCTTAAATATAGTCAGAGTAAGAATGACTGCCAATTACCAATTACTAATATGCTTGCAAATCTAAGGCATGTCTAAGAAGGTTGACTATTTTTTTAAGACCCTATATCAACAAATTCACCAGTTTGGTAACTGCCAGTGAATAAATGATAAAACACTGGCTTTACCAGCCTCATGATTGGGTTAAGATAGTAGTTCTCAAACTTTCATGAGCAACAGAATAATTGAATTATTTGTAACACAAAGGATAAATGCCTGAGGGGATGAATACCCCATTTTACATGATCATGAAGTGATTATTATACATTGCATACCTATATCAAAACATCTCATGTACCCTACGTACCCACAAAAATTATATATTAAAAAATATTTTAAAAACATGGGTTGCTGGTAGGTTGAGGTCCGAGGTTTTAAATTTCTAATAGGATCGCAGATGATAATGTTGCTGCTGGTTGAGACCACTATTTGAAAGCCATTGGGTTAAGACCTAAGGAATGAAAATGAAACTCAAAATCCAGCCACCTGTATTTTTAGAATGAAAATATGTCTGATTTTAATATAACTAAACACTTGGATTAATGAGAATCAATGAGTGGAACAAGACTGAAAGGTCAATAATTACTAGGGATGAATTGACATTTCTTGCTAAGCATCTAAACTTTGCCTCTTGTTTCAAGTTTCAGAAAAACCTTTGTGTTTTCTCAGCAATTGTACTTCTAGGTTGGATTAATTCTGGTCTTAGATCTTGTCATATTCCTTGTCTCCACCTACCCCCACTGCTACCTTAATTTGGATGATAAAATTCCTCATTACTCACAGAGTAATCCAAATCAAAAGTCCTTTAATATCTTGTATACTGCTAGATAAATTCTGAAGAGACTCTTTAAGTTAAGAAAGCTATATTATCTGTCCATCCAGTTTGTATTTCTTCCCTTTCAAATCCACATTAGCACTATGGAGAAATCCAACAGAAATTTAAGTCTGCACATTTATGTATAACTAATTAAATTTTTGAATCTCAATCAGAAAGTTTCTTTTAAAACCAAATTTCAAACTCAATCAACTCCTTCCTTCTTCTTGAATATCAGCATCTATTTTTTTTTTTATGATTACGCATTCCTCATCCAAGCAAGGTGTCTCTAAGTACTTGCTCAGAAAGATCTGTTCTAAAACTCAGATTTGACATAATGTTTATTGAATATTTTATAGGCTGTGGAGTTTCATACATCTAGTCTTCCTTGATTTTTCTATCAATTA